ACTCACAGGGCAAAATATGGCACCATAAGCTTCAAAAACTGCTTTTGTGTCTACTGTTCCATTTCTGTTATATTTGCCATCCCCACCTCAGGTGCTGGAAGCGATGAGGAGGCTCTGGTTTATGCTTAGGCGGTTTGGCATCTGGAAATCACCAGCTCAACCACTGAAACTCAAGACTTTACAGAAAGAGATGGAATGAATATAGCCCACCCTGTTACCAGGCCTAAGCCCACTGTCATAAAACTAACAGTGAAGCATTACACTGAGTTAAAAAGTTGTATATAACGAGTTGTCATGGGGAAAGAAAGAATCCAATATCTTCAGATTACCTTAGCCTATAATAATCATGTTACTGTTTTCTAGACATTTACTATGTTCCGGGTATGATCCTCACCTCATGTGTATATGCTGTCACAGTTAATCCCCACAATATTTTGTAGGCAAGAAAACTGAGGCTTCAGGTGGCTAAGTAACTAAGCCAACACAAAGCTGAAAAGAGGTAAAGCCCAGATTTGAACCTAGGTTTATCTGACCTGAAACCCAGCTTTTTACAACCACGTCATCACTGTCCAACGCGTAGCACCGAAATTTAATGTAGACTCCCTTACATTTGCAAGTCCAGAATGTCACCTATCCGAAACATACCAAAAGCCCATGTGAGATGAATGCTGTCATCTGTCATTTTAAAGCACTGGAGTGTTAGACACACTCTTAATGGGATGTTGACCAAAGAAGCCAAGTATGTGTATGTGGCCACAGGCGACATTTCTTTTCCATACTTGTGGTACACAAAATAACCAGAGGAACAAACTCCCACCCTTCCTCTTCCAAATGTACTGGAAGCATGACTTCCTGGTCTTCAAACAGAAAAATCTCAAAGTCTCAAATACCTGGGCCCCCGAAAGATGCAATAAAGGCTAGACACCATCAGGTGGATTTCAGGGAATAAAAATAGAATTATCGAGTAATAGAACTGGTATAATAATGAAAATGTTTTGTGTGCGTGTATATATACATACACACACATATAATTATTGTACATCTGTTGACAAGCATGCATTTCAAGATTATGTTCGTCCATACATTTCACAACCAACACAGCAAGGCTGAGAAGAGGAAGGGGTACTGATTCTCATTTTCCAGATTTAAAAGAAGGCATAATAAATTACGTGAGAAGCAAAGCTGGGGAGGATTTATTTAAGGAATTCTAAATTTTCTATGTACCCTGGGCTTCCAAGGGGACACGCAAAGACCTCCCTTTCCTTTCAGTTGCACTTGGGGAAGTTTGCACACAGAATTTCAAGTCTCCTGCGTTACTCTAAAGGTCTTCTTTTGAAGACCTTTATTTGCAGACGAGAAAATTTGGGCCCAGAGAGATTTGCCTTAGGTGTGGCAGAATGGGAATCAGGTCTCCTGACTGTTCCCACCGCCCTCAGGACCCTTTCTACGGATGACACTATAAACACAGCACGTTAATTATGAATGTGAGATCGCAGACTTAGACGTCTGGTCACTTCCCCCAAACCTCCGTAAGCGCTCTTCCAGGCCTAGCCGGGAAGCCCCCTCTCTGCGCTGCCGCCTCGCAGACCCGCGGCCCGCCAGCGCCCAGGCGGGCCCAGGGCTTCCCGGCCCCTGCGCCCCGCGCCCCTCTCAACTTGACACGAACGCGCAGCAGGGGGTCGGGGACAGGGGTTCTCCAACAAGAAAAGGAAAATTTATGTTGCCGTGGGTCAGAATTTCGTTAGGGAGCTCTGGGGTCTGCAGTAGGACCTCCTTAAAAAGGAAGAATTTGGGCAAAACGATCCAACCTGAAGGCCGCAGGGGCGGGGGCCGAGGACGGTTTGTTGGGAGCTTCCAGGGCCGGGTGGGGGCTGTGGGGACGCCCCGCGGTAGCGAGAGGCAGCCCGGGCAGGCGGGGTCTTCCCGGGCAGGAGCTCGCCCCTCCGCACGCAGCCG